TGAATGAATCACGGCCAGTGTATACGTCACTTGTCTATCCACCAATCACAGTTTGTCGGTGACAAGTCGGTGACGACAAGTCGGTGACCACAAGTGAGTGGTCTGTGACTGACAGGTTGTGTGTGTCAATCATAAATTCCATGTTTGGATGTGTCACCGACATCCATACAATATCCACCAATAAGAAGCGGCCATTTCAATCTCGGTGACTAGTTTTTTATGGTGACTTTATAGCCTCAACGACATTAACATTGCTTTCATATCATTAATATGAAGCGAGTCGGTGATGTGTGATTGACAGCGCACAGGAGCCATGCAATCACAATCCAGGTCCGAGTTTTTAGTCACTGCTCAGGAAATCGATGGCACTATTTAAGACATGTGGGGCCGTCCACCCTTCATATCAACCACAGGTCACCTTCAGACGACAACCAGAGAGAGAACTGACTGCAAGAACAAGATTTTGCTCGGTGAGTGTTTGAAACAATCATTTTTCTTCTGAAGACATTTGTTGTCTTTTGCCCAAATGTGTTTGAATCAATGCGGGATTCAGATTTTGTTGAATGTTGCTGATTCAATGATTCTCCAAACAGCGAGCGCGGTGGTAGGCTTGATATTTTCCCGTCTTTGTGTGCTTGTGAAAATGTGGTAGCTTGAGGACTGAAAAAAAACCCCAAGATTTTTATTAACAAATTGTTCTTTTTCATTTCACTATGACTCTGATACACGTCTGCTAACAGCAAAACCAGCGCGCTAATTCCGATCCAGAAGTTGTGCCTTTTCCCAACGACCACTTTGAAGTTGATAAAGTATTGCGATAATTTACAAATGTGTTTGAAATTAACTTGTTCAGACGGACTTTGTTTGTGCATAACATTCACTAAGCCCGTCTGAAAGAGTTAATTTCAAACACTTTTGTAAATTATCGAGCTATTTTATTTCAGCTCTTATAATATAAACAGTTGGTGCGGATGCAGACCACGGTTTTGCGAGTTCAAATTTCAAGGCAATAAAAATGAGGAATTCCTGTCTGGCAATATTTCCGCTACTACTTCCATTGTGCACTCTCAAAAACAAATTGTCCAAATACTTACTGGTTTCTTTACTTCTTGAACAAAAATCATTTGGATTCTTGTCGATATGGATAATACACTACGAAGTCACATTTATGGGCTTTTTTATTTAGGTTCGACTGTTAGGTTGGACTGTTTTCTGACCGCAGTTTTTCGCAAGTATAAGACATCAAGTTCCCTGCTGTGATTCAGAACAGTAAAGATGTATTGATCATTCAAAATAATATTTCAGAGGAACTACAAATCGGTGTTTCACATTTTCGGTTTCCAAAAAAAAGTCTCTCAAAACCTGGACTCTTTATAACCTGGCCAATATTTTTGGCATGATCAAGCACACTCTTATTTTCTGCCTCCTTTTTTCCCTATTGACTTTATCGTTTAAATTTCCAAACATGAAATCCTAGTGCAATGTACTCATATTATTTCCGGATATCACTCAAACTCAATCAGAATGAAAAGTTATGCGGAAGTTGGTCACGGAAGAACGTATACAGGTATCCGGACACCTCAAAATGCCGGTCTTATATGTGTTATTATTTGTGGATATTCTCAGTGCCTTTGAACTTTGTTGTTCAACTGGCATTTTGCTATAGTTCACAGTGCGCCATTCCGGTTTCATCAAGTTACTTTTAAGCATTGCAGGATAAAAGTGTCACTGGTCAGAATAGACTAGAGGGCGCAAACACAAACGCACTGGATCATGATGATGCACACAGTTTTATACAAGTTCAATAGCTGGATGCATTTTGTAGAATTCATGGATAGATTTGATTTTTGGAGAACGCATTTGAGATAAATAGTCAACCCAAATTACATTTTCACTGTACAGACATTTTTTTGGCCGTATTGTACTTGTGGAATTCAGCTATGCCTCCCCACCAGACTCCAAGTTATCTCCTAGAGGATTTTTAATGACTCATATTTTTGTTGGTATTTTTTCAGCCAGCAATCCGCTCAAGTGTTGAAGAGTGCTTCCGCGAGAGAATTCAAGAACTGTGCTTAGGTGAGTGTCTGTTAAAATTTTCTTCATTCAAGCATCAGAATAGAGCAGTGATTTGGTAGGAGACTGTTCCTTTTTTTCTATGCATTTAATATTTTTGATCAAAATTAGAAACCAGAAAACGTCATTCAATTACCTCTACGAAAAAAAATAATCCTGGCCATGATGGTTAGGCTTCTCAATTATCCCTTCTAAAAAAATATCCTCCAAGCCATAGTCTCCTCAATTATTCCTTCTAAAAATATCCTCCTAGCCATGATTTATCCTCCTCAATGATCACATCTAAAAAATATCTTCCAAGCCGTGATGCTTTGTCTGTTCAATAATCTCGTCTAAAAAAAATTTCTCCAAGCCATGATGATTACTATCCTAAAATATTATCCATTCTAAAAAAAATAGCTTCCAAGCCGTGATGGTTTGTGCGTTCAATAATTTCTTCTAAAAAAAATTCTCCCATTCATAATAGTTAGTTTCCTCAATTATCCCTTCTTAACAAATATCCTCCAAGCCATGATGGTTAGTCTCCTTAATTATCCCTTCTAAAACAATATCCTCCAAGCCACAATGGTTTTTATTTCAATAATCCCTTCCAAAAAATTCCTCCTAGCCATGATGTTTAGTCTCCTCAATTTTCCCTTCTAAAATATCCTCCTAGCCGTGGTGATTAGTCTCCTCAATTATCCCTTCTAAAATATATCATCCAAGCCATGATGGTTTTCATTTCAATAATCTCTATCAAAAAAATCCTCCTTGCAGTGATGATTAGTCGCCACAATAATTATCCCTTTAGGAAAGATCCTCCTATCCATGATGGTTAGTCTCCTTAATAATTATCACATCTAAAACATATCCTCCTTGCCAGGATGATAAGTCTCCTCAATTATCCCTTCTAAAAAATATCCTCTTAGCCATGATGGTTTGTCTCCTCAATTATCCCTTCTCAATATATCCTCCAAGCCATGATGGTTAGTCTCCTCAATTATCCCTTCTAAAAAAGTATCCTCCAAGCCATGATGGTTTTCATTTCAATAATCCCTTCTAAAAAGATACCTCCTTGTCATGAGTGTGAGTCTCCGCAATTATCCCTTCTAAAAAATATCCTCCAAGCCATGATGGTTTTCATTTCAATAATCCCTTCTAAAAAGATACCTCCTTGTCATGAGTGTGAGTCTCCGCAATTATCCCTTCTAGAAAATATCCTCCAAGCCATGACACAGCAGTTCCACATGCATAGCGCGTACACACAAAAAGGTTCTGTAATGCGTTAGTGCTTGTGTGTATTTGTGAACTCCAATGATGCCGGTGACGTCACACAACATGGCGCCGTCCACATACAGAAAAAACATCGATGTTTCGTCCCAAATAATGTCAAAATTAGACACTTTAGAAATATGTTTTATTATCATAAATGAGAGGCAATGACGGGATATGATGTTTTCTTTAGGAATAAATGAGAAAGGGGTATAATTTATATGCTAAGGTGTGTTTTAGGGGAATTTTTGCCAACATTTTTGCAATGCGGGATGAATTTATTCGCGTATCGAAGACTTTTAAAAGCCTTCAATAAAAGCGAAACGCAGTTTTTCAGAAGAAATCTTTATGTTGATACCATTATTCAGTTATGAAAATAGCCAAATCATACTTTTTCTTGGTCGGGTCGACATTTTAAAATAAAATATAGACGTTGAAAGTCAGACTACAATTCCAAAGCTTCGCTGAGAATTCGGGCTGCTGCATCGCTGGTTTACGATCTAGTATCCCACTAATACATGCAAACTGGCGCGCGGGTACCAACTGGCCTAGCGCCGCGTGTGTTGTGTACACAAAAGCGCCGTACAACATGTACACATGTACATGTACATTGTACATGTGTACGTACGTAAAACCATCGCATTCGGGACGATCGCAAGACATTGAAAAAAAAATGCATAAAATGCAAAACAGATCACATAGAAATAAAGAACCATCTATATCTGTCTTTAGAAGAAAACACTCACTGTGGACTAAATAAACACACAATCCGAAATTCACAAATGTTTAGTGTACAGTGAGTGAGTGTTGTACAGCATATTAAAGCAGCACAATCCAAAACCAAGCATGAATTTGCCATCAGTATAGCTAGACACTCTTTCCTCTTAATTTTCTGGGGGAAGCTGCTGACAATTAATTGGATCTATAGCTTAAACAAAACAATAACAAATAGGTTTTTGTTTGGCAATAAACGCATTCTTTATTTCACAACCAATCCATATCATTTTTAAAAAAAAGTTTCATTTACAGAAGTGAAACTTCACAACAGCCATATTTTACAAGTAAATAAAGTGCACATGTAATGCAGGCATGAACTCAACTAGTGAAATCAGGTTTGGCAAGTTATAAAACTATGAAAAGTCTGAAAAATTAAGTAGGGTAGTTGCAGTTGATTCAAGAAAGTGATTCAAAAATTCAACTTTATGAAAGGGCAAATGGATTTAAGCATACCCTCACACCTGAAGACAGTAAAGGTTTTTTTATATTTATTTATTATTAATATTTTGTTGGAGAAAGGAGCTTGCAGTTCAACTGCACTATGTCATAAGTGGTGGTGATGGCAATTTCAGGTTTCAAATTTTCGCTTCATTAAAATTTCACATACGTACGTGTACACGTACCTGGATGACCTGCCCCCCCAGATTTACAAAGCACTACATCGCTTCACAATTTGATGCAAACACAGTCCACTGTGAAGTTCTTTTCCAGTGTGAATGCATCATACATCGTCAATTTTGTTAAATATTTTAGAAAAGTTTTCACAAGTACAATCGACGACTCTTTGTTGACTTTTCGACGACTACTGTACTTTGAATAAATACATAACATGAAAATACATGAACATGTACATGTAGTCACCTTTTGTCCTTTGAATACACTACGACGTGTCGCACTTACAGCATATTTTGTAAAATGAATCACAGGATGCGTCATCCTAGGGATACAACGATGCATCGTAGGTTACAATAAGTTTCATGAAATCAGGTACAGATTGTCATCGTCACTACGAACGACACTCTCGCACCCGTGTGTGCGCTGTACGCGCGCGTGTTTACAGAACCGGGATATTTTGGGTTTTACGAACTGATATCCGCCACAGTGCGGCACTTTTAGAGCGCACCCCGTACATTTTTGTTTTCACGAACTGACACCCAAGCATGATGCGGCAATATCCGTGTACTTGTGCGATTATACATGTACAAATTTTTCATTAAAAAGCGATTTAATTGGTAAAATTAAGATCAGTGTCAGTTCGTGAAACCGAAAATGCATGGGTGCACTCTAAAAGTGTTGCACTGTGGGGGATGTCATTTTGTGAAACCCAAAATATCCCGAATCTGTAAATACTCAAGTGTGCGCAAGTGTCAGTTTGTGGTGACATTGACAAGATATATACCATCTGAAATGGCAATAAGGACAAAACAGAAACTGTCCTGATCAAAGATTACCTCCAGTTATCTCCGAAATTCCCAAACTATCTCAATTCTCTCAACCCCCCCCGGCAGTAAGATATTCATTATGAAATGTTTAAGTCAACTATGTTATTCAAGCATCTGGGACAGGGAGGCAGCGAACACACTACACCTACCACTCCCAATTCAGATCACACTAAAAGTATTTGTACATGTACTCCACACCATGGACTATTTAGAAAGGTTCAGAGTGGGGGTTGGGCTGTTTGAATGAACATGGCCATGTCATGGCATGGTCAGGAACTGATACGGAGTTCAATTGCAATGGGTGGGTAGTACAGATCAGATGCGGAGGAATCCAAAGCTCGTCCATTATACGAGGCCATGCATGTCGTTGCCATCTTCAATCCAGAAATAGGAAGAAACTCTTCAAAACCTGAAAGCACAACAAGAATATAACAAATGGAACAAAGTCAAAGGGATACTTTGAGATGCATGGTGACAGCAAATACACCAGTCCTTTTCTGGTGTTGACGTCAATTTGAACATGTGCACATTAGGTTAAATGTGACGTAAAAAAAATGAAAAGGACAGGTAAAAGGAAGCGTCTCAAAAGTCTCTGTTGAAAATTATTGCCAGGTTATTTTCAAGATTGTTGTCTGTGCCTTTGCTGGGATTTTTCTTGCATTGAATATGAGTGTTAAAAACTATAGAAGATAAGAAAGTTTCATATGTTATCCTTTTCTATAGGCACAGACATACATGTACAATGTACATGTAAACATGTACTTGTACATGATGTATGTACATGCATGTACATACATGCCATGATCAATTTCTAAGTAAAATAATATCAAGATGCTCACCGATGAAAATTGTCAAATTTTCTGAAGGTATCCTTCTTCAGGGCAGGGTACGTCATCTGCGTGTCATGGTGGAATGCCGTACACTCCGCATAAGAAGAACTGTAGGCAAACCTCCTCCACAGCGTCCGAGAGACAACCAATAGGTCTAGATGGCAAATTAAAGTACACATTCAAGTTCATGTACAGTAACGTGACGTTTGTGTTTGTACACAACAAGAACAAGAGCATGCATTACATGGGTTTCGAGTAAACTCCGTACCCAACCACCACAAGACTGTTACCGACTCGGTCCCTAACAGACGGGTCTGACCGTCTGAGACAGCATGGCCAACTCAGTTCCACTTCCAGGTCAACTTGGTCCCAGGTACAAATGTATAAAAGTCGGTCCAATGTCAACTAAGGGGGTAAGTCTCAAGTCATTTTAGTCCCAGGTCAAATTTGAAATTAATGGAAAAAATACTCTACAAAAAAAAAAGTACAATTATATGACTGAGTGAGGGCAAAAAAGAAATAGCATAATGTATTGACGGCCCTGGCAATGTAACCTACATGTAGGGCCTACATGTCAAATCCTTTGTTTACGCATTTAGAACATACATGTACAGTACACAGTTTCCTTGAGAAGTTTTCAAGAACAATGTCAGGCTCCTGCCTGCAAAGAATGACCTCCATTCCTCCATCATCATTCATGTTCCTGCATGATGCATGCCATTGCCAGCAAATCCTGACCACGCTGACTAAAATTTACATGAAATTTAAAAATCATAATGAAATTGGAGGATTCAGGACTGTTACTGTTAGGATTAAGGAATGCATTGTGATTATTTATTACGAATACGATTTTCTGGGTAATTGCAACTAGCAAGGCACACTGGGCAGAAATATTTCTTAGATGAAAGTCTTCTACATACACGAGTCGTTGCGTCGTCCAAAAGTGCGTGCTATGGGATAGCTCAAGGCGCCTACACTACGACTGTTTCATGTACGACATTACTGTAATAACTTCCTGTCATGGCGCGGCGTACGTACACAAAATCCTTGTGTCGCAGGCTAAAAACAAGGAAAAACTACAAAAACTACATCTTCTGAGCAGAGTAAATACATAATCTATAGGCTTACCTTTGAGATTTCCGTCTGAATCTCCGAAATCATGCCAAAACATGGCCACGAAGGTCCCCACTCGTCACGCCATGACACATGTACACTTCGTACGTTGCGACTTGACGAATTCCTGTTTTATTCACCATCAATATTGGCTAAAATCTCACGAAAGCATGTCGTCCCAAACCTTTCGTCCATATCAACGTGAACCTAGATAACTCATTTATTGATAGATTGACCAAGTAGGCTATGCGTCACAAAACTGCATTTTACTTTATAAATGATGTTTTCTCGAAGTGGAAATGACGGCACGAAAACGCTAAATCGTACTAGTCGGAGTAGCTTGGACCCTAGCCCCATAAATGTGGCCTATTTACTGGACTGCCTCCGTAAACATAGGCCACACATCCACATGTACAAAAATCGTGTCGACGGAGCCAAATTTTGATTTTCACATTTAGGCTTAGTTTGTAGGTTTTTTTTGCTTTAGAAGCATACTCACCCTCTTTACAGGCTAATCAGAAAGTGCTGCCTTTTTCAGATGTATATTTTTTGTGAAATTTCATGTTGAAATTTTGATACGCAAACGTGTAAAAATGAATCTGGAAATTTCACGAAAAATATACATCTGAAAAAGGCAGCACTTTCTGATTAGCCTGTAAAGAGGGTGAGTATGCTTCTAAAGCAAAAAAAACCTACAAACTAAGCCTAAATGTGAAAATCAAAATTTGGCTCCGTCGACACGATTTTTGTACATGTGGATGTGTGGCCTATGTTTACGGAGGCAGTCTAGTAAATAGGCCACATTTATGGGGCTACTTGGACCCAACTTATCGCCTTTTTTAACATTTGGACATGGTCTGGCGATAGTGGGGTCCAAGCTAATACCGCGACCTGGACAACATCATCCTGTCACTGTCCCAAAAACCAACATTTCCAACAAAAAACATCAGATTTCACCTTTAAAACGGCCTCCAAATTACTAGATATGCCACCTAAGGTACAAGTAGACATCGATAATTAAGATGGTTGTACTGAAGTTTACTTACGATCCGGAAAAAAAGTGAAATTTTCCGTTCATTTCGGAGAGCTCCCCTCGCGATCTTGAACACGTTAACCTCTACATGCCCAGCGTACATTCGATGGTCCCCGTATCCCGAGTGCGATTCCGTTACCGAGCGCGCGCGACGCATCGATTATGATAATGAGTAGACTGGATCACGTTTGTAAACACATGTGCATTTCAAACGATAATAGGGAGTCGGGAACTAGCGCAGCTTTTATGGCGGGTACCAGTTCAAGCTGGTTCCCGATTCCCTTTTACAGTTCGAAATGCACATGTACAGTGTATGTGTTTACAAACGTGACTCATTATGTTGTTTTTTGGGATGGGACAGTGACAGGATGATGTTGTCCAGGTCGCGGTATTAGCTTGGACCCCACTATCGCCAGACCATGTCCAAATAAGTTGGGTCCAAGTTACTCGGACTAAAATCGTACCAGGTCACAAGTCACACGCTGCATAAAAAACACACATTATCATAATTTGTGCACGCTAGATGGCAACTGTCAACCGTACATAACTTCATTGATGGTTTGTAAAGCCTTATTTGGTAATCTGTTGCATATTCATTTTAATAAACCAATCAATTTTTATATCTTTCGCGGGGTATTTAAATCCACCAACGAAACAAAGGGATCGCTAGCGCTGTGCGTAAGGTTTATTTACATCGCGCTAGGTTGTCACGTGGTATTACCACTAACTCCATCTCGCCAACAGAGGGCGTACTTTTTTATGCGTGAAACTGCCGGTGTAGCGTGAATATCCGACTCCATGAAATGTGGACTCATTGGTAGTACTGCGCACGCGTGAGTACGATACTATGCTATTTTTAGGATCGTTTCGTGAGAGTGACCTGTCACGTGCGAGGGATCAACCAATAATAGGGAAATAGGGGTCCGATTTTCATAGGAGTCGGATTTACGTGTGACACCGTGATGATGGTTATAGTCACTTCAATTTTCTCTTCTAAAAATATCCTCCAAGCCATGATGGTTTTCATTTCAATAATCCCTTCTTAAAATATCCTCCTAGCCGTGATGATAAGTCACCTCAATTATCCCGTTAAAAAAAACCCTCCTAGCCGTGGTGATTAGCCTCCTCAATCATCCCTTTTAAAAACAAATATCCTCCAAGCAATGATGGTTAGTCTCCTCAATGATCACATCTAAAAATTATCTTCCAAGCATTGATGGTTTGTCTGTTCAATAATCTCGTCTGAAAAATATTCTCCAAGCCGTGATTTTTTTTATTTCAATAAGCCCTTCTAAATAAAAATATCCTCCTAGCCATGATGAGAAGTCTCCTCAACTATTCCTTCTCAAAAATCTCCTTGTCTCCTCAAAAATCTTCCAAGCCGTGATGGATTGTGTGTTCAATAATCTCTTTTAAAAATATCCTCCTAGCCATGATGGTTTGTCTCCTCAGTTATCCCTTCTAAAAATATCCTCCTAGCCATGATGGTTAGTCTCCTCAATTATCCCTTCTAAAAATATCCTCCTAGCCGTTATGATTAGTATCCTCAGTTATCCCTTCTCAAAAAATATCTTGCAAGCCGTGATGGAAAGTGTGTTCAATAATCGCTTCTGAAACATATCCTCCAAGTCAAGATGACAAGTCTCCTCAATTATCCCTCCAAAAACTATCCTCCGAGCCATGATGGTTTTCATTCAATAATCCCTCTGAAAAATATCCCCCTAACCGTGATAAATAGCCTCCTTAATTATCCCTTCTAAAAAAATATCCTCCAAGCATTGATAGTTAGTCTCCTCCATTATCCCTTCAAAAATATCTTCCTAGCCGTGATGATAAGTCTCCTCAATTATCCCTTCAAAAGAATATCCTCCGAGCCATGATGGTTTTCATTCATTAATCCCTCTGAAAAATATCCTCCTAACCGTAATTATAAGTCTCCTCAATTATCCCTTCTAAAAAATATCCTCCAAGCAATGATAGTTAGTCTGCCCCCATTATCCCTTCAAAAATATCTTCCTAGCCGTGATGATTAATCTCCTCAATTATCCCTTTAAAAAAATATCCCCCTAGTCATGATGGTTAGTCTCCTCATTTAGCCCTTCTAAAAAATATCCTCCAGGCCATGATGGTTAGTCTCCTTAATGATCACATCTAAAACGTATCTTCCAAGCCGTGATGGATAAATTGTGTGTTCAATAATCTCTTCTACAAAAATATCCTCCAAGCCATGATGATTAGTCTCCTCAATTATCCCTTCAAAAAATATCCTCCGAACCATGATGGTTTTCATTAAATAATCCCTTCTAAAAATATCCTCCTAACCGTTATGATAAGTTTCCTCAATTATCCATTCTCAAATATCCTCCTAGCCATGACGGTTAGTCTCCTCAATTGTCCTTTCTAAAAAAACATAGCCTTCTAGCCGTGATGATTAGTCTCCTCGATAATCCCTTCTTAAAATATCCTCCTGGCCAGATGATTAGACTCTTCAATTATCCCTTCTCAAAAATACCTCCTTGTCATGAGTGTTTGTCTCCTCAATTATCTCTTCAAAAATATCCTCCAAGACGTGATGGCTAGTCTCCTTAATTATCCCTTTTGAAAATATCCTCCTGGCCATGATGATTAGTCGCCTCAATTATCCCTTCTAAAACAAAATGCTCTCTGATGAATATTTTGAGTTTCTGAGACACATTCGATTGACACTTGACAAACAGATGGTATGTCTGGGAACAAAAGCTTTTGCCTGAGGCAATGTCCACAACATTACAAAAAGTGGGAACGCCACCATTTCTTTGTAAAATTATAATTCGAAGTAAATTTGACCGTGATGAATCGTTTGAAATAACCGATGACGTCATGATGCCGTCACAACTTTTTCCTTAATATTTTGGACCAGGGTTCAAGTTCATCTTTTTTCCTTGATCCGTTTCGAAGGAATTAGATTTGTTTTTAATTAAAGGTTAATTGTTTGCATAAATCTTTAATTTAACCGGGATAACCCCGGAAGGAAAGGTCAGACGATTTTGTTTTCGAAAATCAGAAATGTTTATCAAGGTATAATCTATCAGATTATAAAGTGTAAACATGATTGTTCTTTTTGTCAATAAGCTTGTGGCATTGAAATCGTTTGTAATTTGATACCTGATGGCGTCATTATGACGTCAGAGTTATATACTCACTTCGGAATCAGGGTTGGTGTTTGGTCAAGGTTTCCAGTTTATACCATGTACCGTTGAGAAAAAAAATCGTACAGAATTATTGCCTGGAATAAAAAAAGAAGGAAGAAAAAAAAGGAAAGAAAGGGATAAAATAATTCTTACCATTTCAAAACCGTGATCGGGTCGTACACGATCACACAAACATATCAGGTTTTTGTTGTTCGGAATGAGGAATTCCTGTCTGACAATATTTCCGCTACTACTTCCATTTTGGACTCTCAAAACGAAATTGTCGAAATAATGACTGTTTTCTTTACTTCTTCGCAAACTCATTTGGATTCTTGTCGCTATGGATAGCGAACTAAATCTTTGGAATATGTTATTGTCAACAACACGGTTGTACAGGTTCGACTGGTTTTGAGCACATTTTGGCTGCATTTTATTTCAAGGGTACATTACATCAGGTTCCCTGCTGTGATTCAGAACAGTTGAAATTGATCGTGATTCGTACTTATTCCAAATACTTTACGCACTTGTGATTTACATCAGGTTCCCTGCTGCGATGTTACTTTATTATTTTAATTGTCAAACATGAAATCCTGGTTCGATGTACTCACACTTTTTCCGGCAATGAGAGTCTTTTTGACATTTTTTGACATGAGATCGATTAATTAAAGCAGAATATGTATGCTCCTTAATTGTGACTCCTGCAACTTCAAATTCGAGCAATGTTGAACAATTAAGAGGAACATAGGATCTTTTGCCCTTGGTGTTTTTTTTTTGTTAAAAGCAACAAAATTGATCAAAATCTGAAGTATAGGGTGTATATCTAGTAACCTGTTGCAATTTCAGCGCATTCTATACTTTTGAGAAAAGAGAAAACGCAGTTTCGAAGGTTTGCGGAAATGTAATCGGGAAAAATGGACCGCTCGACTAAACTAAATAAAACTAAATGCTGGGGGAACTCACTTAAGAAAACCTAATTAATCTAATGATCGAATAGGGTAAAGACGCGAGGAAATGCAAGAAGTGGGACAGTGACTCAAAATGTAGGTTTCCTCAATAAACAAAAATAAGAAAAATAACTTTATTGATACTAAAGCAATGACCAAAAGCCAAACCAGTGTAACCTTAACCAAGACCAACACACAGTAAAACTATTAAACGAAACCCAGAATTGAAACAATTAAAAACACAGTGCCAAAGAAAGTTACAGATTAAAATCAAAATGGCTTTCAAACCTGTTAAATAAAACAACAAAAAATACAATCGATTAAAATACACTTCTTCAATCAAATTTAAGAAACACAAAGTCTTAAACATTGAATCCAAACTAAGTTTATAACAAAAGATACTTCCAAGTCCGATCTTTAAAATACAACTTTAGAAATGAAATTCCAAAGAAATAAAGGAATAATATGATTGTAAACAACTGATTCTTCTCAGAACCACACAACTCAAAATTATTCACATGGTGTTACCGCAAACCTTATATTCTTTTTTACATGTTTACCATGCAAACATACACGTCTCATTTAAGAGTAAACGTATGCACAACTGGATGCCGTTGCTTACACACGCAAAAGAGTGTGCCAGCCGGCACACTATTTTAAAAACAGCAAAGCCTTCATTTTACTTATTTTATTTTACGCTTAATCAGGCGGAATAATTTTAAAGGTTGTTTGAAACCAGTTCTATTGTGAAGTACACTTTCTGTACATTTGCAAGTGATCTTAACTAATTTTAACTTGTTTTTTTTGTATAGATGTTTCTCAAAAAAAAAACCACCGCCCGTACGTGAGTCTAGTCAGGGCCGTTGATGAACGAATTCCTACCGGAATAAATAATCAATCCAAATCACATTTCACCCGACAGAGATTTTTTGCGGCGTTTTACTGATACAATTCAGCTATGCCTCCCCCACCACCCCCCAAGTTATCTCCCATCTGACTTTCAATGACTCGTTTTTGTTGATATTATTTTCAGCCAGCAATCTGCTCGAGTGCTGAGGATTCCTTTCGTGAGAGAATTCAAGAACGTTACACTGATTCAGGTGAGTATCTGCTATTTGACATATCCTCACACAACTGTCAGAATTGAGCGTTTATTTAATGGCAGACTTTATCTTTTTGTGTGCATCGATAAACGTTGTTGTCAAAACTGTAACAGAGAACGTCCTTGAAGGAAATTTATCATTAATATAGGTTTTCCGATCGAATTTGTCCAATGTGCATTCAAATTCAATTTCCTTTATTCAAAGTAAGGGATGCATACCCCTTGCTATTCAAAATAGATTTGTTTCTCTTACGAATTGTCGATGTGTATATGTGTTTTGTTTATTAAGGTAAAAACAACTACTTTGATCCGATTTTGGGCGTCTGCATGCCAAAGGAATTTTCATTTTTTGCGCACAATTGAACCCGCCCTGCGAGAAGCGAATTATTGTCTGACAGCCAATAATTTAAAGTTTGTGAAGCAATAATTCAGTAACTAAACTTTGTCGGATTTTTTCCCGTTCCATTACTAATTCAAAAGTAAATATATTATATATTTTCAGAAAAATAGCAATTGAAATCAAATTGTG